AGACATAAAAAATTTTCATAATGCCACGTAGCAATTTGCTTCATATTTTCCCATTCAATATTGATCAACTGACTTACCAGTCGCACGATAGCTGGTGGTAAGTCACTAGACTTTAGGCAACTCTTGCCTATTAGCTTTTCTGCAAGATCGCTGGAAAATAGCCCATTCGTATCGACTCCAGACAAATCAGTGCGGCGCCATACGGCACCAGCCTCTACAGCTCTTCGGTGAGTTTGACACAGGCCGGTTAATGCTTTTTCCAAAGGTCGAGTGTCCTTGGCTAGGCGGCCCGTGTAACGAGCAATGTCAGCCAACAGAGCTCGGTAGACGCAAACTCGCTGACCCGGCACGCTAACGAGCTCGGCAAGATGACGCGCTAGCAGATTTGTCTGGCCTGATGCTATGTTTGGAACTAGTATCCTAAGGCTGGACGGATCTTCATTTGCCTCACAGCTTTTGTTTGATTCGTCTATAACAGAATATATTATTCATAACATGCAATATTTATCATTTATTTCGTCCATTGGATGGTGAAAAGAATGAGAATAATTTGAAAATTAAATAATATTTCTTTATTTGGTTAATCAAATAGCATAATTTTCTTGTACTTTAAATTTATTATTCAAAGAAATATTTGTTAACTAAATAGACAGTTTTCATATTGCGACAAAATTAAGTAAATTTTAACTTAAAAAGGTTTTATTTAAAGCTTTAAAGATTTAGCGAACAAGACCTTTGGATTAGTAGTAGCCATGAATTCGGAAGTTAAAGCATCCTCGATAAATGTGAAGGTAATGTGAGGTTATTATTAATTATTATCTTACTTCGCATCGTGAAGGCTCATCACTAGATAAAAAGGATTTTTGGCAAGTAGTTTTCAATTACTTAGTTTGAGCACATTTTCTCTACCTTATTTCAACTAGTTAGAATTTAATTGAACCGCAAAGTTTTTGGAATACATAATGTGACATCTTATCACACAGATCTCTGATATGAGCGAAGTTCGAGGAAAGTAATTCAGTTTGCTTATTTCCACGCAAGAGATGGGGTCAGAAACTTCCTCCAGAGTTTTAGTGTAACTTTTCTATCCTTTTTTCGGAAGTAATAGACAAATAACTGAGGAAGCGGGAAATTAGAACCATTTATAAGAAGAAATAAGATTGTCCTCGTCATGTCTTACTTGCGTCAAGCTTTGCACCCTCAATCTGGATAAGGTTTTATGAGGTTTTGTGCTGGTACGGAAGCCCAGTACCAAATAATCAGGATAAAAGATTGCTATGTCAAGTACTTATTCGCATTATTAAACAATAACAGCTCAAGGACAATCCTTCTTTGGTTTCCGATCAGATCAAGTTATGAATCTGGTACACCAACCTGTTTAGAAGAAATGAAAAGTTACACGATGCATGTTCAACAGGGCTTCTTCGAAAATCTGTTTATCTTTATAAAATCTGTGACTGTTGTGAGTACTTTGTTTCAAAGAATCTGATAAAAAAGATAATTTAATCGATCTTCTCAGAAAATCATAGCGGATACAAAATGCTCTGCACTCTTTCGATTTTAATTAAATATTAAAATTGACGCAGTTCATGAGATCGCTCTTTTCTGCTATGTCTAAATCTGGTATGCTTTTCTTTGTTAAGTCCCTCTACAGGCATGATTATAGCTTTCTCTTATTTATATAACATGTCTAAGCTATGACTGACTCAGTAAACTAATATGAGAGGTATTCACCCTATTTCGTTTAAGGTGATGAAGGACTAGTAGTAGAATTTTCCCACGATGATATGAGTAGAGCTGACGTTTCCATTTAATTTAACATTGTTTTGCTTTCCCAAAAGTTATCGAAACTGCAGTCCACCTTGGATGAGAACAACTTTTGGGAATGCAAGGCAATGTGAAATTAAATGGAAGCGTTAGCTCTACTCATATCATTGTGGGAAAATTCTATCATAAGTCCTTCATTACCTCAAACGAAATAAGGTAAATACCTCTGATATTACTGATTTACTGGTAGTCTCGAAACTCTACTGAAATACGAAAATCAGTAGACCAACTTCTTATTAAATATGTGTGCAATTACTATATATATATATATATATATATATATA